GAGTCGGTGGAGGACGACACCTGCTTGACCAGATGGGCCATGTCCGGGACTGGGCTCCGCCGGGTGGTACTGGGAGACGCTACCTACCGGGGGCGCAGGTTGGTGAGGAGCTAGCCTGTCGTTGACCCGAACCTTCTTTGGTGGCGGTCGCGTGGGCCAGTGATGATCCAGAGGCTCGAGGACTCCGTGGAGGTGGTGCGTCACCGTGTCAGTGAGGAGGACGCGCACGTCCGTCGCTACTTGTTTGCATTGGAGCACATGCCGTTCTCCAATACCTGGCAGGTTCTCCGGGGATCTCACTGGAGCTATGATCCCATGATGGTTCCTTCTCTGTGGGTGTCCACCGTCCGCGCCGATACCCGTCGTGTGCTTGGGTTTTAGTTGTATTAGTGATGTTATATGTATGACACTATTCATGGTGTATTAGTGATAATATTCGACGATATATGGACGTATGAGATGATTTACTTTTGCTTATTGAATGCATGCTAATTTGAGTCCTATAAGATATTTTGAAATGTATATCTTGTGTTGCTCAATATCCAAGTGGCCGGTCATGTTTGCAGGTTACACCTTCGAGTGGCCTATGTTTTGCCGGAGTGTTGATTCATTTTCGTTCCGGCAAATTTCAGGCGCTCGATATGTCCTATTTTAGCAAAGGTCATGCCGGATTTTTCCGTGAATTTTGGCATGACTTGTGCCAGAATATATAGGAAATATCGAGTGCCCCGGATTTGTGTGTTGAGTATCTTGGTAGTTGTCTTCGATCAATTTTCAATTAATGTTTTAACTATGAACATAGGAAATGTCCGACAACGAAAAGGATTTCAGTATTTGCAAATACTGTGAAGACGAGCGCGGTCTGTGCGACGGAATCTTCCTAGATGATGATAGGCGCTTCAGCATCAAGCTGGACGAGAACTTCGAAGTGGATATAGTAAGTCACAATGACAAGTCTTTTTTCGTAATTAAGCATGACATCTGCTTCATTTGCTTCAACTTATATTTTTTTTACTATTCTACTAACGTATCCCCTGCCATGCAAGAGTTTTTGTATTGGATAAGATAGGTTTCGGTCATAGTATGGAGGAAAAGAAAGTTTACTTGAAGACCGAGCATGGTTATATTTTTCATGCAAAATTGTACAATTCAGACGACTACACCTATTTTGGATGCAAAACATGGCGAGCACTATGCAAGACTTATGCATTTGAGCCTGATATGGTTATCACCTTTGATATTCGTCCGGAAGATGATATTGAAGGTAATACCGACATCTGGGTCGATGTGCAGACGCCTCCAGTTATACCATTATGTAAGTTTCTGAACCATATTTATGTCTTTGATATTGTTTATTCAAAAATAGTTGACAACTAATTTGTATTGTCAGCTTATTTCGGTGCAAGCAAACATGTCCAGCGCTTGATAGACAGGACCGTATACTGTCCTGGGGCTGAACACAACTGCGAGGAGCTCAGTCATTATGTTACATGGCTTGAGGATCTTGATACTGTCAAGACAAATTTTCTTCCTGCATTTAGAAATGTTAGTACTGAAAATGTGCGACCAATAGTATTCGTAATGAACTATGGTCACATCTATTTAGGAAGGATGGTAAGATTTTTACTATTTGTCATCTCAGTGCATCTTTTCCATACATTATTTTTGAAACTAAACTTCATTGCTAAGTATGTTACCATACGATGTTCTTCAACAGGGACTTCCGATGAATGTTGTGCCTTATGGGATCGAGACTAAAGGTACCATGAGTATTATCAGCTTACGGCCAAGATATCCTACAGATTACTTTAGTGCATTCAAGATTAGCGACGGATGCTTAATAGTGCAAGACTGGACCAAATATGTGATGGGGGAGCGCAGAGAAGTACTAGGGGGCAGCAAACAGATGTGCTACCCACGAATAGGAGACAGGTTCATCTGCATGCTCCAGCTTGATCAAGGAGGAGAGCTATACATGTTTTATGTTATTTTACCTAAGAGAGAGCAGCAGGAGTGATTAGCTAGCTAGAAATGAGTTTGAGGATGATGATGTGCTACACTATATTACTATGATGATGAAATAGCTAGTGTTGGTGGTAATGACTATGATAATTATTATTAGTTAGTGTTAGTGGTGATTAAATAAATATTGTTGGTGGTAATGACTAAGATGATGATTAAATAGCTTGTGCTGGCGGATTAGATTCAAGTGGAGGCAACATGTGGTGCACATCGAAAGTACTACTAGTCCAAACTAGATCAAGTTTGGATTAGTAGTATACTTTTGACATGCACCACATATTGCCTCCACTTGAACCTAATCCACCTTCATTTGATACTGTTATGGACATAATGATGTAAACCTCATAACTGATATCATACCAATATTTGTACGATGGCGCATAAATACACTAAAAATAAAAAATAATAAAAAAGTACTAGTAGCGATGGACATAAAACATGCTTCAAGTAGTTACCTTAGCAGTAGCGTGGTACTGAACAAACGCTGCAGCTATTTGTCCTAGCAGTAGCGCGGGCGGGCACGCGTTACTGCTAAGCAATAGCTGTAGCGCCTTATTAGTAGCGCGCCTACCCGCGCTACTAGTGAGCACAAAACCAGCGCTACCGCTAGGGTTTTCCCTAGTAGTGTGACGACACCGTCGGTCCCGAACGGCCATGCCACGTGGCTTCCCTTTTCTGTGCGCGGCTCATAGTGTCTGGCATGTTTGCCATACGGTGCTTGTTCGCCGTGAGCCCATGACGGCAATGTGAGCTAGTTGTTGTGAAGCCTGGTTTGCCGGGTGGCGCTCTCGGTGTTGTTTACTTTGCCAAGTCCACATTTTGGCTTTCGATGAAGAGATTGGGACCCTGCATATAAGGAAATTCCAGTAGTGGGCGCAAATGGAAACTAGAGGTGAACACTGAAACCCAAGATATCTTTAACATGGAGATTGTGGCCAAAACCAGACTCGAACTAACATGGAGATTGTAACTCTAGCTGCATTAATTTGTTTGGGTTTCAATTTTTTTTGTTTGTTTGTGTTTTTCCGGAAAAAATAATTTCAGTTTGGGTTTCGGTCGAGGTCAATCAGGGGTGCAGGTCTTTTGAAAATGCAACTTGTGTATTGTATGTACACAACTACCACAATACCTATAGAAGTTGATCATGTTCGCATAGTCATGATGAACATGTCTGTGTCATGCTTGTTGGAATGCTATATTAATAATTAGCTTTTGTTTCACTTGTGCGTAGATGTTACAGCTTGTTAGACGTGTTATATTAATTAGCCGTGGAAAAGATGGTGTCTATTAACGATGTTTGTGGTTTCTCAATGATAATTTAATTTGCCATGTTACTTTGTTCTTCCTTTCGTAAGCACCAGCCAGTTTTTAGCTTGTTAAACCTTCAATGATAAACATTACAACAACGTCATACATTGAGCTCACCATGTGTAATTATTTTTCTGAAATATGCACAAGCAGGGATATCATATATATCGAAGGAGGGGCATAAACCCAACTACATTGATGTGGTCAACACTACACAAAGGCAGTGCACTCAACATTGTCCAACGCAAATACAATTTAAAGACGTATACACACCCATAATCTACCTATCCAACACCACGAACAAGGCCTCCCACTCCACACGAAGCAATATTCTCGATACCACACCCTACTCTCCTGCTCCACCCCGCTACAGCTGTCATTGAAGTCGACGCATGTGCATGCAGCTTATTTTGTCTTTCATTCCGTAAGCACCAGCTAGTTTCGAGTTGATTAAAAACATTGCTCGTAAACAACAACGTCATACCTACAGCGTGTCGCGCATAATCATTTTTTCTAGAATGTACTCAGAAGTATGCATACAATATAATGATAAAGGAATATAGAAAGCCGACTACTACTGGTCATGGAAGGCGAGGCATGTGCAATGCAAATTTTAATAACTGCACTATATTCTGTTTTAGGGAGCTGGCAGTTAGGTGGTAGGTAAGTACAGTAGCTGTCCAACAATAAGAAAAACGACCAGCCAGGACGTAGCAAGTCCTCAAGACCTCCATAATCTATAGTGCTGGCATCCCTAGAGGTGGACTTTTGGCCATATTTTCTTGAGAAATGAACTTTTCTCTCGTTATCATCCACCAGCAAATATCGGGTTAATAATTAGTGCAACTGCAAATATTCGATCTGCTCAATGCCACCAGGCTCATTAGTCGGGGTTGCAAGGTCAAACCTGCTGGTAGCAAATGCAAGTCGTTTACTATAAAAAATAAGGGGGGCGGTAAATTTGTGGTGTACGCTACGTACACAAATGCAATTATTCCCTATGCGAGTTATACCGAACTGGACGGCGCTCCTGCCCGAACTCATCTGTCACTGTTGTGAGATAGAGCGCTTGTATTTCGGAATAGTCCAGGCCTTGTCATGGCCGCCACCATCTGGTACTGTTAGAAATAGAAACTCGGAATTTCTGGACTTCTATTTCCGATATTACTGGACTGTGTGATCCAAATTTTCCCAGAAACACCCAAATACGCAGCTTAGGCAATCACCCAAATTCACTTGTCCTCGTCATTCTCAGGTCAAGGAAGCTCCTTTGCCGTCGTCGATTGCGACATCCCGCTTATTTAGTTCGACGATAGGCCACCAAAAACCTGCCGGAACACACGGTAATTCTTCTTGCCCTATCTGCGTGTCTACAAACCGTCGAGTTAGGGCATTTGAGAACCCTGGAAAATTTCACAGAAGGTCCACACACACACACTATATGACTGTGTCCCCCAACAGCAAATAGTGGTAACAACTTAATTAGAGTGTCTCTCAAAAAAGAAAAAGTGAATCAAAAACTTAATTAGAGTGCTAATGTTGATGTGGATGGCATGGCAGACAGGACAGGTAAGCTTGCTTCCAGCTCAAGACCACCTGTACAGGAACAGGAGTATGCTCGCTTCTTATAAAGCTGTGACTTGCTGGAAACCAACATACGGCCGACCAGCATGCAGCAAATGTGGACGGCATTGACGACCATGCTGCTGCTCCTTGCAGCAGCGGTTGTGGCAGCTACCGGCGCGACGACTCATGGTGGGTGTCTGCCGAGCTGCGGCGGCGTGGACATCCCCTACCCCTTCGGCATCGGCACCGGCTGCTTCCGCGAGGGCTTCGAGATCGAGTGCATCAACAACGGCCCTGTGCTTGCCGGTACGTCCTTTCGGGTGGTCAAGCTGACGCTGGATCCAGACGAGTCGCAGGTGATGCTCCCCATCGGGTGGCAGTGCTACAACGCCTCCGACCCAACCGACACTTACGGCAACTGGAGCAAATCCGAGACGACGATGAACAAGGACGGCGTGTACCGCATCTCCAACACGCACAACATGCTCGTCGTCATCGGCTGCAACACCGTCGGCTACACCTCCAGCAAGAGGACTGAGGGTGCCGGCGCCAGCTACAGCCACAGCTACTACACCGGTTGCATGTCCTACTGCAACAACTCGGCGAGCGCGCAGGACGGCCTCTGCGACGGCGTCGGGTGCTGCCACGTCAGCATCCCGCCGGGACTCACCGACAACCTTTTCGACTTCCGGGAGTATGACCACTCCAGCATGATGGACTTTAGCCCGTGCGACTACGCCTTCCTCGTCGACAAGACAAACTACACCTTTCGCCGGTCCGATCTCAAGATGGACAGAAACCGGACCTCTCTGGTGTGGCTGGACTGGGCCATTCGCAGCAACAGCTCCATCTCCGGCGACATACTGTCGTGCAAGCAAGCGGCCAAGAAGGACCAGTACGCCTGCGTTAGCGCTCACAGTGACTGCGTCGACTCCACCAATGGGCCTGGCTACAACTGCAAGTGCTCTGGTGGCTACGAGGGCGACGCCTACTTGCCCAACGGATGCACCAGTAAGAAGCCTTGCTT